ACAGCCAAACTTCAGACACGCCTTCAGTCAAGCGTTGACGCTGAAGCCCCGTTTTAATAGGGTGTAAGGCCCACTGGTGGGCCACTGCCCACCTGTTTAGAATCATTGGTCTAGGGGGTTGAATCAAGATTGCGATCTTGTTACGATTAATTATGCAGCTATAATATATAATATATATATATATGACAGTTCTGTCTGGTTCTTGAATTTGATTGCCTAATAGCCGTGTAGTATTTTGCCAGTAACCGCACACAAAGGCCTCTTCACCCTTCACTTTTGTGGATTACTCCGCCCACATGCAGTCAGCAAGAAGCAGAGGACAGTCTACAGTTTAACAAATAATACTGCTGTTGGACAACATAATGTAATTTTGTGGCTTTTTTTGCTGACAATGTAGTTGTTTAGATTGCAACTATGCAGTTTGTTTATAAGAATAGTGCCTTAAAATATTTACAATTTCTGAAAGACAGCTCGTCGGCCGCCACTAGCCTGCCATACTGAGTAGACCAAAGACGGTTGACATTTTCGTCCACAAGAATATGGCTTTTAAAAATTAAAAAAACTGCTGTTATTCTAGCTAAATTAAAACAAATCAGACTTTTTGTGAAAATTTCCTTGCTCTGTTAAACATAATTTAGGAAATATATTTATAAAAAAAGAAAAAAATGCAAAGGGGGGCTAATAATTCTGACTTCAAGTGTATATATACCTGAATTAGATTGTTACATTTAAAAGAGTTTGGGTGTTTTTTCTTTCTATTTTTAGAGATTTGAGAAGCAGACATACTATTTGTGTTATGATATCTAGTTGGCTGTATGTGCTGCAAATAATTTTAATTTGTTAACTGTGCGGGCTATCAGTTGGTTTAGCCAGTCTGCTTCCTGACAGACTTTCTGAGCCACAGTTATTCAAGTGCCAGCCCTAAGCTATAAGCCAAATTACCAGAGAGGAGAGCAGTCCCAGCCATGTTCTCAACATATATAATTAATAGGTATATGCACAAGGAATTTTGATTTTCAGTAACTTTTGGTAAATTGTCATGCCATTACAAAATTGCTGCCTTTAAGATCTGTTTTCTTTTAATATCAAAGATCTTACTGCCAGATTGATATACAATATAACATAGGTATCAGACTGTACAAGAAGCACTGCATTAAATTCCATTGTTCCACACCTTGTTTTAAAATATAAAATTGTATTTTACCACATGATTTTCTATAGAGTTTCTGTGCTCCCCTGCTGCTCCTTGACATCAAGATCCTAATCTTGAATCAGGGTCTTGGCAGCAAAATCACTGTGTGGGATGGTGTACTATGAGCAATGTGTGTCTAGGGAACATTACCGCAGGCCACAGGAGATACATGTCTCGTTTAAAATTACCTAGCAGATGTTACAGAGCTACAGACACACATTTGGCAGACTACAGTAAGTGCTACTACTGTGGTGGAGATGGAGTGTTGATGTCAACCGTTTGATTGTCCTAAACTATTTCACAGTAACTCTGAAATTACAAATTATAAACATAAAGACAAAATAGTCTGCCAGAGTACCATTTTTAGACAGCTGGACATCAAAGTTTTTCATGATTTGAATTTATTTTTTGATGGGTTTTTTTTTTGTGTTATACTTATGTAACATATTTTATATATATGTCATGTGTGTATATATTATTACATGTTATCATATATATATATATGTGTGTGTGTGTGTGTGTATAGTGGGTAGTGCATCGCCTCACAGCGAGAAGGTTGCTGGTTTGAGCTTTGGCTGGGTCAGTTGGCATTTCTTTATGGAGTTTGCATGTTCTCCTCATGTCACAGGTCTAAATGCACTATAGGTAAATTGGGTAAGCTAAATTGTCCATAGTATATGTGTGTGAATAAGAGAGAGTGTATGAATTTGAGAGTGTATAGAAAGTGTTCCCCAGTGATGGGTTGCAGCTGGAAGGGCATCAGCTGTGTAAAACATATGCTGGATAAGTTGCTGGTTTGTTCTGTGGCAACCTCTGTTAATAAAGGGACTAACCTGCATCACAACAGAGCGAGTAGATATCCATAGAATCCGAATTTTCCCGGCAGAGCGCACATCATGCCAGCTTTTTCTGTGTGCACCATTAATACAAACAATGACGATAGCTGCCTGCACTTGTGCACGCCCACAAACAAACAAAACTCGCTGGCTAGAAGGGTCTTATTCCCAGGAATAAGTTGAAATCATGACCCATTTAACCTCATGGGACCACCGTTATCTGATGCTGCTTTATACTGAACATGACAAGTTATACGAGTTAGTTTGAAAAGAGTTAACAAAGGCTGCAATTATTTGATTAAAATAAATATAAAAGGTCTTAAAATAATATTTTAATTTAAAGTAATTGTTTTTCATGTTAAAAATATTATTTATTCTTGTGTTTAAAGCTTTTGTCATTAAGCTACATCAGTGTCTCTTTATTAAAAACTCATGGTGTGATGAGAGAAACATACACCCAGTTAGATAATTTTGTTCTCCTGATCTGAAATATCTTTTGCTTCGGTGTCAGCCATACTGGCTGCCTAGGGAGTTCACAGCTGTTATCATTACGGCTGTCTACATCCACCCTCAAGCCAACACAGAGCTCGCATTCAGGGAACTGTATGGGACGATAAGCGAGCAGGAAACTGCACACCCGGAGGCAAAGTTTATTGTCACAGGGGACTTTAACAACGGTAATCTAAAAATCACTCCAAAATACAATTAACACATCACCACAAACACGCGTGGTAATCGTATTCTGGACCATCGCAACTCTCCATTCCGGGACGGCTACAAATTCCTCCCTTGCTCACAGTTTGGCAAATCAGATCAATCTTTTGTTCCGCTCTTGCCTGCTAACAGTCAGAAACTGGAACGGGAACCACCCACACTTAGGACGTTTCAGAGCTGGACGGACCAATCGGATTCCATACTTCTAGACTGTTTTGAGCATGTGGATTGTGAGTGGAGGGTGCGTGGGTTTAGGATGATTTAATGGGCCCACTTTTGGAGGCCCCCTGAGTTACTGTTAGGGGGCCCAATTCAACCTCTTCTAAATCCCTTTGCAATCCCCATAACACAATCCTGCCGCAGCATCTTTACCAAAAAACATTTGCGTCAACAGATTACTCTCCCAGGAAAAGATTATTACTAAGCACAGCCATACTTTTCGAGGGCTAACTTTGTGCTTTGCATCCAGACACCCTAACACCATAATACCCTACCTGTACAACCCCACACCACCTCTACATCCATATAAAAGCAATGAGGACAGACATAACATTGATAGAGTTGCATTAAAACATCTTAGACCAGTTGCGCACAAAACAATTTGCTCACATGTTAAAAATACACATAAAATGTGTCTCCACCAAAATCTGGAGCCATTTGGTGTCATTTTGGGCAAACCCAGTACATGCCCCAGATAAGAATATACCAGAAGTCTGACACATCTAATTGATATGTAGGAGTGGCTAGTATGTATTCATATCGGGCATAAAAGCCATAAAAGCATTGTCCATTCTTGAATCAAATGTAAATTTGACTACCAGAAAAAACGCATCAATCTGCTTTTTATTAGTCAATTATTAGCGGTTTTTAAAGATGATAGATATTTTAATGTATCTTTGATCTTTGACTAATATGTCCAGCATTCTGTCATGGCATGCAGTGCACATTCATTTGTAAGCAGGACACACACACACACACACACACACACACACACACACACACACACACACACACACACAGAGTCTTTTTCCAACACTACCTTATAGAGCCATTGGGAAATTTGCTGCGTATGAAATATCTGTGAGAAATCTTGTGTCTAGACATGTCTAGGTTATGCACATCTATGAAAAGGGGGCCAAACACAGTTGATTTTGGATTTCAATCATGGAATAATGGGTGTTGCCAGATTAATAAAAACTTATTATTACATGTTATGTTTCAGTCCCTCAATTGTGCTTTATGTTAAAAGATTTAAAAGTAAAAGTCTTTGATTATGTCAAAATCACACAGTCACTGTTGGAAAGTGGTAACATATACAGATGTAAGGCTTGAAACTTACGCTGCTATTCTGAACCAATAATCGGAAACAGGAAGCAGCTGAAGGATGGCGTGTTTAAATCCATTATTTATCTGACTCCATTGTAATTAATCTGACTCCATTAAAGTTGTTATCATCATTGATAAAGAGAAAGAATCTCTACGTCTTAAAGCAGGCAAAGTTGTTTATTAAGTTACATGTTTAAATATACAGACATTAGAATGAAACAAACTAACATACTGTATAAAGAAATTAGCTGTAACGTATGCACTGCTGAGCAACAAAGACAGTGAAACTGCCTTTGTTAGCATATGAGGCTACGCACCAGTGTGCGGGAGATGCAGAGTAAAAGCCATTCTCCCAGATCAACAGTTACCTTTCTTTCTTATACCCTGAGCAAAGCATTGTCAAACATGAGTGAAAACCAACCCCCAAAACCAGCTGAACATGAGAACAAAGTTGAAGAGATGAAGTGGGGGAGAAGTTCATTAACATACTCTCCTCAGGCCATGACCCAACAATAGTAAATATATTGTAGATTGAAATACAATTAATTAATGTCTCTGTTGATTTCATCACTACAACACTGAAGTCATAAACTGTCAAATGACACCAAACATGACAAAGTTATCTGAAGGAAGAACACAAGCAGATGAATTGTATGGTGAAGAGCACATGGTTACTGTAAGCAAATGGCAGAGATGTGTATCGGAGCTGTGAGGAACTCTGCCTCACCAGGAGGACCCCTCCCATGCTTGGAATGTCTCAGTAGTCCTTCATTAGCATATGTAATGAGACCATGTCTGGGCACTACAAGTCCCAGCAGGCTTAGCGCCATGCAAGGAAGTGTTGTTGTTTATGTGCGGACACTTTATTTCCTGATTGCGGCGTAAATTAACAACAGGTTGTAGATTGCTCAGCGCTATATAAGTGAGTCAAGGTTTGTTTGCCATTTTGCTGTCGTTGTTGCATTCTGGTCGCGGCACGTAAAGGCCGGTAGGTAGCAAGTTTATTTGTGTGATGTGCGGTCTCTCTCTCTTTCTCGCAGAGTTTCCTTTTTTTTTAACGCATGCATAAACTGACATTTATAGAGTCAACACTTCACGTGAGGGGTAGCTGATGAGCAAACAACATTTAATGCTGCCAGATCTTCATTGCGAACTTATTTAAAGAGGTAGTTGTTTTATAATTTTAATAAACCGTTTTTAGTATTGTGCTTTAATGATATTATCCTTTTTATTTCTAGTGCTATTACGGGATCATTGTTTGCTGATTGTTGCCTGAGTGTCAGCATGGGAAATTAAGGATCTTAGAGGTATTGTTTAAAACAAAGAAGGGTTTTTATCTCTTAATGCATGTTTTATTTATAGGATGTTTTATTGTGTTTGATTTCTTTATATTCTGAGTTTCTGTGTTGTAATAAACTGTGTTTCCCCTTTTTAGGGATGCACGGTTGCCGTTTACTTTAGACTTACAATAATATTTTTGTTATTGAATCTTTGTTGTTGACTTTTGTTGTATGCGAATTTGGGTTGTTTATTATGTTGCTAGGTTGACAACAATTTGTATTTTCCTTTGTTAAACTTTTCTTTCTTTTGTAGGTTCTGTTTTGGATTTGCTTTACCATCAGTGGCCACTGGGTTCCCTGCACTGTGTGGATGGCGGTGGAGAAAAGGTGGTTGGGATTGTGTGGTGATTTGGTCACTGTTGATTTTTGTGTTTTTTAGGTTGCAGTGTGATTGCTGTGAGCTGAGTGTGGTGAAAACACTGCTGCTTGGGTACCTCATCTGTCCTCACTTTCTGGGTAACCGGTGGCCATTAGTGGTTTGTTTTTTTCTTTTCTTTTATTTAGTTTATTTACTTTTTTTTTCCTCCTTATTTGCAATAAAGATGGAGACAATTTGTATATTACAACTTGTGGAATAAAAGATAATTGTCCTTCTAATTGTAAGTCACTTCATTTACCCTCTGCTGAATCATTAACACTGACAAAAGTCATCTGGTCACAATTGGCGTAGTCGGCAGGACTTATTTAAAATTGATTTAATTTAGCAGAGGCTGTTGTGAAGTGTCTTACTCTATCGATTGTGCAACTTTAAATGTTTTTTTGCATAAGTTCAGTGTAAGTAAACGGTGACCGTGCATAAAGGATTTCGCAGACTCTGCTTTGTGGACCCTGGATGTCATTGTGCTGATTGAACTGTCTTCCAGAATTCACCAACAGATATGGAGCAAGAACTAATGGACTTGAGGGAGCGGGTTCAAAGCTTACAAGCACAGAATGAGGAGTTGATGAGACTGCGTCCCCCATCTAGCAGTGATGCCCCTAGCCAACCTCACCCTTCTGTTTCTAATGACCCATCTTCAGTGTCTTTTAACAGAATGCTTTATGTGCCCCGAGAGAGGAAGTGCCCACGTTTTTATGGGAACATGGACTCTAACTTGAGTATTGAGGACTGGATTGACGAGGCTAAGGTGTGTATTGAGGGTAGAGGTTGGGCTGATAAAGAAAAGGTGGTCTTTCTGTTGGATCATCTTGGGGGAGAAGCTAGAATGGAGGTAAAACTTCATCCACCTGTTACTAGACAAACTCCAGAGTCTGTTTTTGAAGTTTTAAAAGATTTGTATGTGGGAAAACAGACATTTGTACAATTACAGCAGAGGTTTTATGAGCGAAAACAGAAAGAAGGTGAATCATTGACTGAATTTTCTCATGCTTTAATGTCATTGATGGACTTGATTCTTAATAGTAATCCAGGTAGTGTTCCCAATTCCGATAGAGTGCTTCGCGATCAGTTTGTTGAATATGTCCAAGATGTAACGCTAAAATGTGAGTTGAAACGACTTGTGAGGGAGAAGCCTTCTCTTACGTTGCTCGAGGTTCGACGTGAGGCTCTTAGATGGGTAGAAGAGGGGAGCGGGGAAGCAACTCTTTCATATTCCCAGCCATGGTGTAATGCCACTCAAACCAGGGTAGTTGACCAGGAACCTAAGGTTAGATTCCAGGAATCAACAGAGTTAAAAGAAATGAAAGAAATGTTGAGACAGCAACAAGCACAATTAAATGATCTTACCCAGCGTCTTGATAGACTTATGCCTACAAAGAATGATCCCCCTGCTGTTGCTTTACCAAGGCAAAATACATTGCGGCGATGCCTACGTTGTAACAAAATGGGGCACATTGCCAGATTTTGTCGTTCACCTTGGCCTACAGAGTCAAACTCCGGATCACCTCAGGCAAATGTAAATGAGATTTCAGTTGGGGAATCCGATACTGTAGCCCCTACTGCAATTTTAAGCCAGATTGTTGAAGGGACTAGGGAAGCTTCAAAGTCACCCGTTTGCCCTACTATTTTACAGCGACTCGTGGGCAAATGCCCTCTTGTAAATGCACAGATTGGGATGGGAGTAGATATTTCTTGTTTGTTGGATACAGGATCCATGGTAACTACGATAACAGAGTCATTTTTTGAGAAACATTTCCATCAATTAGGGGTGAATGGTCTTAAGAAATGTAACTGGCTTCAATTAAAAGCAGCTAATGGCCTTGAGATCCCCTATGTGGGTTATTTTGAAACCGACGTGAAAGTGTTGGGACAAACCCTTCGAGGACAGGGCATTTTGGTTGTGAAAGATCCAGTTGATGTTTTTTTTCATCAAAAGAAAGAATTTACTCCTGGCCTCTTGGGCATGAACATTATAGGACAATGTTATAATGATTTGTTTGAAAAACATGGCCCAGCACTATTTTCAGTTCCACAGGTTAGGCAGGCAGAACAAGGTTGGAGAGACTATCCCAGTGTCACAGGGTGGAGGATGCCCCTGTTCCTGGCTTTGTTGGGTATGCCAGAGTGCAGTCCTGCCAACCTGTTCAGATTCCAGCTGGAACTATAAGGTTAGTGCCTGCTTTGTGCCCAAAGAATATACACAGTGGGACAGTAGTGGTTTTAGAACCCCAAAACCCAGAGAACGGGGGGTTACCCGTTGGAGTGCTAATCTCATCTGCTATGCTGCAGTGTGTACAAGGTATAGTCCATGTACCTATAGTTAATGTCGGCACAGAACCTTTATATTTGCCCCCCAGAATTAGATTGGGTAGTTTGATTAATGTTGAAATCATAAGTTCATCTCAGGGCATTTTCTTTCAGGGTGATGGGTCACAGGACCCTAATGTAGTGGTTGTTCAGTGCCATGCTGTTACATCGAAGTCAAGCATTGATATGCAAGGCGTAGAACTGTCTGGGCTTTCAAAGATTGAGGAGGAGGAAGTTAAGAGATTGTTAATGAAATATTCAGACGTCTTTTCAAAACATGATGGCGATTTGGGATGTACAAATTTAATAGACCATCAAATCCCCTTAGTAGATGATACACCAGTACACCAACGCTATCGTAGAATTCCCCCCAGTCAGTTTGAAGATGTGAAGGCTCACATTAGACAGTTGTTGGACAGCCACATTATTAGGGAGAGCAGTAGCCCATATGCCTCCCCAATTGTATTGGTGAAAAAGAAAGATGGTTCTTTGAGGATGTGTATTGACTACCGCCAGCTGAATGCCAGAACCCATAAGGATGCCTACCCTTTGCCAAGGATAGAAGAGTCGCTGGATGCATTGACTGGAGCAAAGTGGTTTTCAACTTTGGATCTGGCAAGTGGATATAATCAGGTACCGGTAGCGGAATCTGATCGATTCCAGACTGCTTTTTGTACCCCATTTGGGCTGTTTGAATTTAACAGGATGCCATTTGGACTGTGCAATGCCCCGAGCACTTTTCAAAGATTAATGGAGTGAATTTTTGGGGACCAGAGTTTTCAGTCGCTGCTGCTCTACTTGGATGATGTGATTGTTTTCTCAACAACTATTAAGCAACATATTCAACGACTGGGGCTGGTGCTGGATAGGCTGAGACAACAAAACCTTAAGATAAAACTCAGTAAATGTTGCTTTTTCCGGTCAGAAGTACGTTATTTGGGGCATGTGGTCTCTTCCACTGGGGTTAGCACAGATCCAGAGAAAATATTGGCCGTAGCTAAGTGGAATCAGCCACAAAGTCTTCAAGAACTCAGATCTTTCCTTGGCTTTGCTAGCTACTATCGACGGTTTGTAAAGGACTTTTCAAAAATGGCTGGACCCTTGAATGCATTGGTAGCGGAGCTGATTAGGGGGCAAAAGAGTAAACGACCTAAGATTAACCTGGGGTCCAATTGGACTGATTCTTGTGAACATGCTTTCCAAGCCCTTAAAATGGCTCTGACTAACACTCCTGTTCTGGCTTATGCTGATTTTAGTAAGCCTTTTATTCTGGACATTGATGCAAGTCACCAAGGTCTGGGCGCTGTGTTGTCTCAAGAACATGGAGGTAAACATCGACCAGTGGCTTTTGCAAGCCGTGGATTGCGACCACCTGAACGTAACATGCAAAATTACAGCTCTATGAAATTGGAGTTTTTGGCCCTGAAATGGGCTGTTACAGAAAAGTTCAGGGAGTACTTGTTGGGCCAGAAGTGCTTTGTGTACACTGATAATAATCCACTTAGCCACTTGCAGACTGCAAAGTTGGGAGCATTGGAACAGCGTTGGGCTAATCAACTGGCAGATTTCGATCTGGAAATAAAATACAAGCCTGGACGTTCAAATGTTAATGCTGTTGCTCTTTCTAGAAAAACTCCATCTGTGGTTGAACTTGCTTTAACGACTCCAGTGCCAAAGGAGTTACATCAGTATGGTCCCAACAGTTGTCACACAGTTGCCAGTGAAACCATGTCTGTCTTTCCAGAACAGCCTAGGGAAGATCTTGGTGCGTTACAGGAAGCGGATCCTGCGATTGGGCGTTTTCTTGTTTATTGGAATCGCCAAAAGACCCCTGATGCACAAGAGAGAGCAATGGAGTCATCAGAGGTGCTGGAACTCGTGCGGCAGTGGGGGAAGCTGGTGAAGATGGAGGGAGTGTTGTACCGAAAGTTTCATCCTCAAGAGGAACATCGAGAAATCCGCCAGGTTGTATTACCATCTGTACTCAGGGAAAGAGTCTTGGCCAGTCTACATGATGATCATGGGCATCAAGGCATTGAGCGGACCGCAAGTTTAGTGAGAACTCGTTGTTATTGGCCAGGTATGTTTAAGTTTATTGAGGAATGGTGCAAGAGATGTCAGCGTTGCACTCTGGCTAAAGTGGTACGACCAAGAGTGCGAAGTTTCATGGGGCACCTGATGGCCGAGAGACCATTGGACATCCTGGCTATTGACTTCACATTACTGGAACCTGCATCAAATGGGCTTGAAAATGTACTGGTTATGACTGATGTGTTTTCAAAGTTCTCACAAGCTATCCCAACTAAAGATCAAACTGCAGTAACAGTGGCACGTGTTTTAGTGGAGCGTTGGTTCTACTTGTTTGGAGTACCACGACAAATCCATTCCGATCAAGGAAGGTGCTTTGAAAGCAAGTTGATCTACGAGTTATGCAAACTATATGGCATTTCAAAGACTCGCACCACACCTTACCGACCACAAGGAAATGGGCAATGCGAAAGGTTTAATAGAACCATGCATGATTTGCTTCGTACATTGCCACCAAAGGAAAAGTGTCGCTGGCCAGACCATCTTGCTCAGGTAGTCTTTGCGTACAATACCACAGAGCATCAATCTACTGGGTACTCTCCTCATGTCCTTATGTTTGGGCAGGAGCCACATTTGCCAGTCGATTTTCTGTTGGGATTGGATAATGGTTTCCAGAGTGACGTAGACTGGATGGTGTACCATAAGGACAACTTGGAAAGAATATTCAACAATGCCCGAGCTCGTCTTCAGTGTGCCACAGAACATCGTGCTCGAACAAATGACCAGCTTGTGCGACATGAGAAGCTAAAAGAAGGCAAGCTTGTGTATCGAAGAGCTCACAACATAAAAGGCAGGAACAAGATTCAAGATGCTTGGGATTCAACCCCTTACAAAGTAGTGCGGTGCCTTGATGAACTTGGAGCTGTGTATGCTATTGTTCCTGTAGAAGGTGGCAATATTAGAAACCTCCATCGTTCTGAACTGCGTCCAGCCTATACCCCCCCAAATGATTTTGGCCTTTTAGATCAGGCAGACTATCAAGAAAACTTCACTGATGAAGAGGGAGATATTGTAATGATGTCCCTGGGGCCTGGGGGTGTGTTATCTCAAGAAAAAGTTAATCCGCAACCTAGAACACAAATAATAGAAGATATTAGTCCATCTTTACCTGTAGTGGTTGATGTGGAGGACCAGTCTGCTCCACGGCCGGAAGGAGCGGTTGTAAGGCGTACGAGAAGAGCAAGAGCTGGACAGCATTCAAACCCATACCATCTTCCTCGGCCTGTACATGTCAGTGAAGCTGAGTTGCATAGCCATGTTGCTCTTCCAGTAACGGGGCTGTCCAGCAATGTCCTAAATGGTTTGTTTCGCCCATGGTTGTAGTGGTTTAAGTTAATCGACGAGACGTCGATTTAAATTTTGGGGGGTAGATTGTAATGAGACCATGTCTGGGCACTACAAGTCCCAGCAGGCTTAGCGCCATGCAAGGAAGTGTTGTTGTTTATGTGCGGACACTTTATTTCCTGATTGCGGCATAAATTAACAACAGGTTGTAGATTGCTCAGCGCCATATAAGTGAGTAAAGGTTTGTTTGCCATTTTGCTGTCGTTGTTGCATTCTGGTCGCGGCACGTAAAGGCCGGTAGGTAGCAAGTTTATTTGTGTGATGTGCGGTCTCTCTCTCTTTCTCGCGGAGTTTCCTTTTTTTTTAACGCATGCATAAACTGACATTTATAGAGTCAACACTTCACATGAGGGGTAGCTGATGAGCAAACAACATTTAATGCTGCCAGATCTTCATTGCGAACTTATTTAAAGAGGTAGTTGTTTTATAATTTTAATAAACCGTTTTTAGTATTGTGCTTTAATGATATTATCCTTTTTATTTCTAGTGCTATTACGGGATCATTGTTTGCTGATTGTTGCCTGAGTGTCAGCATGGGAAATTAAGGATCTTAGAGGTATTGTTTAAAACAAAGAAGGGTTTTTATCTCTTAATGCATGTTTTATTTATAGGATGTTTTATTGTGTTTGATTTCTTTATATTCTGAGTTTCTGTGTTGTAATAAACTGTGTTTCCCCTTTTTAGGGATGCACGGTTGCCGTTTACTTTAGACTTACAATAATATTTTTGTTATTGAATCTTTGTTGTTGACTTTTGTTGCATGCGAATTTGGGTTGTTTATTATGTTGCTAGGTTGACAACAATTTGTATTTTCCTTTGTTAAACTTTTCTTTCTTTTGTAGGTTCTGTTTTGGATTTGCTTTACCATCAGTGGCCACTGGGTTCCCTGCACTGTGTGGATGGCGGTGGAGAAAAGGTGGTTGGGATTGTGTGGTGATTTGGTCACTGTTGATTTTTGTGTTTTTTAGGTTGCAGTGTGATTGCTGTGAGCTGAGTGTGGTGAAAACACTGCTGCTTGGGTACCTCATCTGTCCTCACTTTCTGGGTAACCGGTGGCCATTAGTGGTTTGTTTTTTTCTTTTCTTTTATTTAGTTTATTTACTTTTTTTCCTCCTTATTTGCAATAAAGATGGAGACAATATGTATATTACAACTTGTGGAATAAAAGATAATTGTCCTTCTAATTGTAAGTCACTTCATTTACCCTCTGCTGAATCATTAACACTGACAAAAGTCATCTGGTCACACATAGAAGGAAATATATATCATATTTTCTCAGCTTACAAACCCCTCTCAGGTTCATTGGACCTCAGAAATTATAAAAGGTCCACATGTGACCTCAAATTAAAGCTGAGTAGAGTAATCCAGTGTCTTCTTTGGCAGAGTAGTGCAGACTGATGATGATCATTGTCAACGACGCTCAGAAGA